GCTGTTGTTTGGTGCCGCCAAGCCCCTCCTTGTCCAAACAGAACCAGCCCTTGTGCTCCAGCCTCTCTGCCCAGGACGAATGCGCTAACCCCAATCATTTTGGTGGTCCTCTGCTGAACTCAGTCCAATTTACTGATGTCTTTCTTGCACTTGTAGGCCCCGTACGGGACATAGTGTTCTAGATGTAGTCTAATACATTATATATTTACCGTGTCAGTAGCACTCTAGAGGAAAAAATGATCTCTTTAGGTTAGGAGTGGTGTTGACAAGACTGTAACTGCTTACCTTTACCTATCGGGGGAAAAATACCTGCCAAAACTGGCATAATTTAACTACCTTTCTTCTTAAATGCACCTTGTAATCTATTTCAGAGAAACCAGAACACTTAAGAAGACATAATCAAATGCTCAATCTCTTCAGCCATTTTGGTGTAGGTTTCATATGGAGTTCAGCCTGTTATCTTAGAGCTTTAGTGTCTCTGTATTTCATATCAGTAAGCTGTTAGAAAGAGATTACCTGAGAAAAGAGGTTTTTTTTGGTTTTTTTTTTACTTTTTTGTAAAAACATCACTCATTATTTTTTGTTCTATTTTAAACCAGAAATGAATAATCTGTAAGGATCAAGACCTGCTCTTTTATGTTCTTTTGTTGTGTCATACTAGACTGCCACAGCTTGTTCTGTGAAGTTCTCTACTGAATAAGAGTGAAGTAAGCAGGAACTTACTGAGACGTCATTTCTTGCCTCTTCAGTCAGAAACGCATATGAGTTATTCCTGTGCTGTAAAAGAAAGGCCAAGTTCTAGAACTTACCAAAGTTTTCAAGAATGTTAAGAGAAAACTGAATTAAATTTCTTTTTCCTCTCCAGGAAGTAGGCTGGAATTCAGTCTCTTGTACTTATAAATGCACTTTCAGGTATCCTCCACTGTGTGTTCTTCAACAATGGAAATATTGTTTTGACTTTAAAGTGAATAGTTTCTGAATTATGGGGCTATTAGTTGAGGCTAAAGTTGCAGCTGGAGTTTCTTCCTTGACATCACCAGCTCTGCAAAAAAGAGCAAAGTGAGAAATGCTCCCTTAACATCTGGAGGTGATGACTGCAGGTGCTGTTTTGGAGCCAGGTGCATTTTTTAAAAGAAAATAAAATCCAAACCTATAATCTGCAGTAGCAAGTGATGGTATTTGCACTGTTATGCTGTATTTTTATTGAGAGATGGAAAAGAACCACTCAGATTAGATAAGACTAGCCAGAAGATTTTCCACTTGTGTAGGGAGACATGAATTATTTATTAGTCCTTCTGTAAGTCTGTTTAATTCCCATTCAGAAACTAGAAAAGAAAAAAACCCTAAATTTCACAGCATGGGAAAAATACTTGCTTAGTAAATTCTTGATAAAATAAAGTATAACCAAAACCGCCAGATAAATATGGTCTTATGAAGACCTTTGTAGTTCTTATGTTTAGTTTTTGGTGGCTATGCATATTGTAATAGCTAGTCTTTCTATATGCTCAGGATAATCCCACATGGCTTAAAAGTTGTGGAGTAGTCAAGAAGGCCAGATAAACCTGTGCAGAGGCTTAAAAACATTGCTGATCTTGGAAGGGAGTGTGATTGTGATTGAAGCTGCAAATCTGTCTACTTCTAAAACACGTCTCTTGTACCATCTCCTCACTAAGGAATTATCAAACCTAATATTGTGTTGATTGGCTTAAATGCTGGTTCTTTAGCCAGACCTTTTTAAAGTGGCAATCTTTATGCCCATCACCAGTGGTAGAGATGTGTTGTCTTTTAAATGACGTTACTGGTTATTGCTAACTTTTTGGTTAAGGGAAAAAAAAAAATTGTCTCTATTTTAATATTCTTTCTTTATAATAGTTTCCATACTACCATCTTTGATATTTTCTTTTTGATACTAACAACATCTTAAGTCAACTTTTTGCCTTATCAACTTATGTTATCAAGCCTTCCATGTAAGTAAAATTGAGAATTGCCTTAAAGATCAGTATTTTTTCAGTTGATTTTGTTGAATACACTGTATCTTTCATGAGGTGTCTGTGAAATAATACTTTGCAAATTTGTAACCAAATGCAAATTTATGTAGGTTTTTTGGTTTTTAGTATTTCAGGTAGCCCATACAATGTATTTACTAACTCCTATTTTTGTGCAGCTGTAAATTGTTTCCTTATGCTATGACTGAAAGTAAGTTTTCAGTAAAAAGAAGTAAATATGGGTGAAATCTTTCAATGCATTTGGATTGTCAGTGTAGAGTAAATTAGTGTTAGATTACTATGTTTTTATCTTTTTTTCTGATTGTCGTGCTAAAAAGCTTTTAAATTCACCTACTGACAAGTCAGGAGAATTAATTTTTTGGCACCACTTTTTTATTAAGCCTTTTAGCTTGGTGTGTTATGAGGGACATGTATATGCCACGAGTAAGAGGGTGGCTCAGTAAGGAATGTTAATCTTTCTCATAAGCATTTTGATTGTTAAAGCTCTACTCAGCAGCAATAGGCAGAGAGGAAGAGCTATTGTCAGCCTCTCTAAACACATTCATCCTAAGTTTCTATTGCAGTATACTAATGATTTATCAGGGAAACAACTCTTCAATTTTGTTTTTGATGTGGGGCCCAAAAATGGAAAGTGTGGTGGTTTTTGATACACTACTTGCAACTCATCTTTAGAATTGTTTGATTTAGAGATTTACTTCTACCCTTGATATACAGGGGAATTGCAAGAATATCCAAAATAGTAGCAGAATTATGCTTTGAAGTATCAGTTTGCACAGTGTGTTTATTTCAGAAAACTAGTAAAATGTTCCTTGTCTCCAGAATTATAATGGGATTAAAATATTACACATTACCTATTAACTCTAAATTTTTACTAGAAAGTATGTGGAAGCATGCCTTTTTAAAAAAAAAAAAAAAAACAAACCCAAAAAGTCTTCAGATAAAGTGCAAATACGGACTCTGAAGCAGAGTTTTGTGAAGCAGGGCTTGCGTACCCAAATCAGGGTTGCAGGAAAGAAGGATGTTTAGACGTACCAATTTCATTAATGTCTCCAGCTGGCTTATGTAGTCCTTCAGTTTGAGTCCTAGCTGTCAGTCTTGGTCCTAGATGACTCCATGTTTATGGTGTAGCTCGGGTATGGGTCAGCTCAGGTATGTTAATTCTACTTCTAAGCCTAGTCTTGGCACCCATGGTGGGTGAGCATCACTGTGTCTCTCCTTCTTCATAGATGTAGCCCAAAGTAGTTTTTACACAATTTGTTTAATCTTGTAGAACCTGCCCATTAGAGGTATTACTACTGTTGATGCTAACTAGAACTTTTGTCCATAGTCCTTGGATAGAAAACAGGTACTGGAAGAAAGATGAATGTGCAAGTTTCTTTTAGCATTGATAAGCAAGGTGGAATAGCTGATCAGTTTGTAACAGAACTATGAGCAAAGAAGATGCTGGAGAAATGAACACCACGTTACCAGCTTTGTTCCCAAATGGTTTTAAATAAATTGCTGACATTAATTAATTGATATACAGAATATGTGTTCCTGTTTTGAGGAATCTAGATATCATCTGTCCAGATGAGTGTAGGACATTTTGCATTTTTAAATTTTCTTTTGGTCTTTTTTAGGTCCATAATATATTGGCCGAAATGGTCATGGGTGGAATGGTTTTGGAGACCAACATGAATGAAATTGTCACTCAGATTGATGCTCAAAATAAACTGGAGAAATCTGAGGTAAGAGGGATGCACTGTGTAGTTTCTAAACTAAAAACATGGTTGTAGTAAATGCATGCTATATAAAGCTGTTTGTCCGTCACTAGCAAACTATATACAGCTGCTTGCTTATAATGCTAAAATTGACAATGTATTGTTAGGTTAGGATGTCATACCTTTCATCATAAGTAATAATTGCTTAGAGTTGCTGCTGATTTAGTTTTTACTATTTGTATCTAATAGCATTGTGCGCCATTGCTATTGAGATACATCTGTAGTTCTCTAAGTTTCTCTTGCAGAAAGCATTTTATTTCCAATGTGTTTGTTACGCTGGACTAGTGACTATGACACTTAAATGAAGTTAGTTAAAGAACAAAGTGTGTATACAAAGACTACAGATTCCTGTCTGCTAGTATGTTTCTAGCACCTGAAATAAATGGCAGCATATTTAGTGTTACAATAATACTGCAACACAAAATAATAAATTGGACTGAAATGGACTAGATAGAATTCTAAGCCCAGTTTTTGACCCTTTAAAGTAAATATCAATTCTGCCATTTTGCTAATCTGAACATTTGGTCTTCAGTTGAGTAGATTTGAGTGGGGAAAATTATATTCTGTATATGCCAGTAACAGTCTGAGTGAGGGATACTCGCATAAGTTGTGGGAATCCCTTTTCAATTCAACAGTTGTTGAATTTGTGTTTAGGAAAGAAACTTAGACTAAGATAAGATTTTAGAATTACTTTAACTATGACACAGAATATGACTGTTCCTTTAACATCACCAGACATGCCTTGTAAGCCAAAATACTACTAATACATCTTAGCTAAATCTGTGATTGATTCTTATTGGTGAGAGTAATTCCACAGAAGAACACATCATCTGATTTTTCAAAGCATAATGCTCAAATTTCTAACCAAACCTTTGCTTGAATTGGAGACTGTTTCTAAGGTTGAAGTCAGCTGAGTAGATTGAAATACTGCAGGTGGCATAAATGTGAACTAAGTGACATTTTAAGAGAAGATGGAGGGAACTTCCTAGTTTTAACTTAAGCTCAACAAAGAAAGAAATTAATTCTTCAGCTTTTTTGTGGTACAATGTACACTGTTCTCCAAATTCTGCAATCTCACACTGCACCACTTCAAGTCTTTAAATACATTTAATTGTTTTGCACAACTTCCAAACTGTATGCAAGAACAAGACAACACTGTGAAAAACAGGAAGAAGCTAGGTATGCTATGGTACAATGCATGGCAGCCAGAAGGATTGTATTGTAGATCATGATGTCCAAAATGCGCATTTTAACATTTTTCTCAAACTCAGAGTGGGCCATTGATCACAGAGATGAATATTTGGAATTATTCTCATAATTTTTTTCTATATTTGAATAACTTCTGTGAACACATATTTTTCTTCATTTGATGAAAAAGTGTCCCAAAAGCTGAACTTGTTGAGCAGCTATGTTCTACCATGTATTATGTGCATCAGTTTTAACTAAAAGCATTTCATTAAGGCATTTATTCTTAATTATGTGAATTCTGTTGCCAAATCAACTGTAGACCAGTCTCTGACTAGTCATCTGAAACACATTGATTTAATGCAGCCAGCTGCAATACTTCCTGTTTTCCATTATTCATCAGTAAGTCATTCTTCTAAGATGCTTTTAGTATAAAAATAGGTGGTAGAAGATATAAAAAAATCCATGTGGAGCTCAGAGCATATGCAAGGCAAATAGCAAATTGTTCCTTTACATTCAGCAATGAATTATAGAAGGTAAAGAAGTAGCAGTAATAAATTAAAATGCTTGGTGACTGGGATGGAGTGGAACATTTCACAGTCTGCTGAACACAAATTTTTTTTTTTTTGTTAGTTCAGTGACTGTTTCTTTTCAAATTTAACAGTTACTGTAATGCTGAGATACTTCACAATACCTGGTAACTACTTCCTCAGTTCATTAATCATTTGTTTCATGTATATCCACAGAAATTTCCTGATTGCTATTTCTTTTCCTTTTGTCTATTTGGTCAAGATTGTAAATCTTTCAACATGTCTTTCCTGAACATGTATTTTCAAGATACAAGCAAATCCAGTTCATGTAAATCAAAATCAGTAATAACTTAGTAATATTTCTGAATGCTGGTCACTAAGAAATCAAAACTAGTGGATCTTCTTAGTTTTCTTTATTTAAAAAAAATAGATTATTTTTAAAGTTTAGAAATTATTGATATGGTCTGCAGTTCATAGGACTGCCATCTATGCCACAGCACTCTCGCTTTAGTCTGTTTGGCTTGTTAGACCTCTGTCATCGTTCTTGCATCCATAAAATAGCTGCTTTAAGGTTAAATTGGCTTTTCTTTTAGAGCCAAAATGATGAAGCTAATAAAGTTGTAACTAAGCTACATTTTCAGAAATATTTTAAATTTTGTATTGTGCCCACCTGGCTTCCCTTAATATAAAAAATTTAGCCATTTGACATCAGGTATTTGTTTAGTTATGTATTAGGTTTCTAAACAGGTTTGCAGTTAGAATTTAATGAAGACAATCGAATCTATTAAATTCAAAAATATTTGAGCAAAGTTACTAACTCAAAGAATTTGTCAGTGCTTTCAACAGAGATTAATTATTTAAACCACTGTGAGGGAGTCCCTAGCTTTGATTTCTGATTCAGCTCTTATGTTGCTTGGATGGGCTACAAAGGAAATTCTATTTCTACCCTGAGAAATGTTGTCTTAAATGCATTTCCCTACCTTTCAGTTTAGTGTTTATCTGTGAATGGATTTCTGGTCAATCCTTCTAAAGCCAAAGGATCATTGTGATTAAGGGAGGGAGTTACTGGGAGAGGGGTCATTGGGATTTTATCCAGAGCCTCTGGAAGTATTGTAGGTAAACCTGGGCTACCTCTTCTCTATTTGGAGTGTTCAACTGCGTGTGATTTAGACTTTTAAGTTGGACCTCATTTTTTCCGAACCTCCTGATCTGTTCTAGCTCTTTCCATTCTTCTCTCTTACAGACCTTTATCTTTCAGTCTCCCAGACAGGACAGGTAGACAAAGGTATTGCTGATTTTTAGAAAAAATGTACTTTTAACAAAAAGGGAAAGCAAAATGATGTCAAAGGCAACAAATTATGTAGGCCAGACTCAAAAATTATGTGTAAAAATACCCATACTAGTCCTTGTAGCCTACTTTTTGTGCTAGTTCCTTCTTGTAGTTCCCTCATCTTTTTATTGGCTACAGTGTATTTTACTAGCTTTCCATTGACATCATATTTTTATTTCATTTCTCTTCCTGCATTTTAGAATTTAACTTTTCTTTGTATCATTGTTTAAGAAACAAAGGAATATGAACTCTTATGAATATTAAAAAACTGCAGAACTAATCTGAAAAAAAATTGAACACACAGATAACAAAATATGATCTGATGATGTAATAGAAATAGCTTCCTTATTGGGAGAAGTTTGTATCTGATAATCTAAAATAGGTAATTTTTTTTTTTTTTACTCTTTTGCTTCACCATTTAGTATTTCCAAATGAAAACAAAGAACTTTTACCTGCTTGCAAAGAGAAGTTTCAGAATAAGTTTCAGGTGAACAAAACTTTGGAAAAAACCCCCAAAAAACCCCAAAACCAAACCAAAACCAACAAACTCAAATAGTTTTATACATACAGAATACAATTATCAGTGCAATTTGTAAAGATGATGTAGAAATACCTCAGTTGATCTTTCAACCTTAAGCATATCAAACATAAAATGAGAAGGGCTGTCAGCATGTACTCAACTTCAGATGTACATTTGCTGCCCTTGCAGTCTGAATCACTGGATTTTGCTTTAAGATATCTTGGTAACTGCAGTCACTGAACATGAATATTAACAAGGAACTTAAAAAGGAGGAGGAAAATGTATGTTTGAAGTTTGGTTTATGGTCATTGTCCCCCATCATTTGCTGTTTGAAACATTTAGTTCAGCTCAACAGTTTGAATGTCAGTCAATGTTAATTGCAGTACTTCAAAATTCATTTCCACTCATTTTAAGTATCTGTGTATTCAAACTGCAGGTATTTTAAATAGCTGGAATCTTAAGCAGATGAAGTTTATTTAATTTATGAATAGTTTTGCTCTTTTTACATGAGCTTTCTAGGTAAAGTAATGTAATACCTTTAAGACTTAACAAGTATAATTCTGTAATTGGATTTAGTAGCATGAAGTTGTAAAGCATTAGCTAAAAATATTTTTGGGTAGTATGAAACATTTTACCTAAATTTGAAGTATGCTATAGCACATGAAGAAAATCAAGCAAATGACCTTCCTCTGCCTAATATGTCAACACTTGTAACATATAACCTGTATTTCATTGTAACAGTAGGGAGCTTGATTTCAGGTTCGTTGTGTTGTGGTTTTTTTTTCTTTTTATTTGTGCAAAGCTACTTTTCTTTTTCTCTGTTCTGCTCACACATATTCTGTTTTCATTTTTGGGTCTGGCAATGAAAAACAAACAAATAATTAATCATTCCCATCCATTACTCTCTTTGTGATTCAAGTGCTTAAAATTTCTAAGAGTATGTCTTAAGTCTTCTTATCTGTTTGGCCTCATTTTGATATACTTGCAGACTTCATTTTGTTTTTTCTCTAATTATGTTCATTTATTTAACTTCATAAGCAGGGGACATGATCATTCCTTTATATTATGTATTGCATCCTGTCATGATTTCATAACCCTGCTGCTTTGAAGTCATACTTGTTCTGGAAAGAAGCACTGGTATGAAACACCAGCAGCAGAGAGGTCCTAGTACCTCCGAAATATCTGGAAAAGGGTGGCTTATTTTGCAAAGTGTTAGCCTTCATTATTTTGTTTTCCAGTAGGCTGTATATTTTTATATGTTTATTTTAGTGATAGCTAGTTCTGTGTAGAGTTGTTTGGGATGGTGGTTTGAATCTTTTTTTTATTTGTATATGCATATTAACTACATTTGTGATGTGCAGTACTTTTTCCAAATGATCTGAATTTCTTCTTAAAGAGTAAAACAGTGTTTCTGAGATCACTTTCTTATAAGGTTATCGGTGGGGCATTATGAGAAAGGGTGACGATAAGAATGAAAATTGATTCCTATAGTGATAAATAATGACCTCAGTAAACTAACCACATCTCATATTTCTCACTTGATAGACTAGGACAAGTAGAATAAAAGTTGTGTTATTAAATGTGTCTGTTTCAATCTTTAAAATAGCATTATTGTTTTGCACATGTGGCATTGCTCTTTCACTCTAAAAGTATATGAATATGTTTACAAGTAATTTTTACAGTAACTGAACCTAAAATTTTAATATACAGTGTTTCAACATTAAAGTACAACCTTCAATAACAAATGAAATTGAGAATACAAAGCAGCTGTGGCAAAAATGTGGTGTATGGGCTTATTGTAATACTAGCTGTACGCAATTCGTACTGTATTTCTGAAATTTCATTAATACGTCTTAAGAAGTTTCATTTTCACTTGCTTAAGTCATTTGCTCGCTGTGACAGACAATTCATCATTCACTGCATGTTTAAAGCTTGCTACGTGTTTTGGTTTTTTTTTTTCCAAGTGGAACAGTTTTTTCTTTGCACCTCACCAACTTACCTGCTGAATTATTTGATAGAAAAGGCAGTTGAAACTTGTCCAGTTCAATGTTACAGTGATGGCTCTTTTAATCAGGTACCTCTATAAAACTCCTTAAAAGCACACTGGGCTGGAAGTACTTTTTGTAGTACCTTTGTGTTTGTAAATACAGTTCACTTTCTGTAAAATAAATTATAAATAAACAGAAGGACTGTTCACTGTTTGACATGCTAAAAAAGGAATGCTAAGGCATTCGGATATAATAACAACATTTGAAATAATGTATTAGTTATCCAGTTTGGGAGTTTAAGTACTTTTCAGTCATTTTATCCATTAGACATTTTTTATGAACTGTTTGCTCTCTCTTAGAAATACTGTATGACTGTATTGTGGTTGTTAGGGTTGACTTTACTTGTAATAAATAGCATTCTGCTATGCATATTATGTATACATTGAATTACAAACCCACTTAATATAGAGAATTCCAGGAGAAGAGAATGTAATAGTTTGAAAATCTCTACTCCAGCATATGATAGTGAAAGACAATCTCGCTGGCAAAAAAAAAGGTAATCTGAAATTCTTAGTACTTTTATCGGGGATCTTCGCTGATCCTGATGCAGAATGGTCCTCATGAAATGTGACTGTATAGGGGGGTGGAAGGGCAATGGTCATGTCAACTGTGGTATTTTAAATAATTCTCAATTGTGTCTCCATTGTATCCTATGCCATTGGGGCGGGAGGCAGGGACTGTAAGTCTGTGTAAAGAGGATAGCTGCAGGTAGGTAAAAGTAATGACCAGTTATACTAAAACTTTTATTTGTCCATTAAGAATAATTAACTTCCATTAAATTAGGGTAAGGAATCTCCATCCTAGTCACCTAGAAGGCATCTCTCTTTTGAATTGCCAGCCATGCCTGTTTGTGTGGACCATGTCCATCACTTACGATATTTTTCTGGTTTCCCATTGTTTCAGTTACAAATTGTATAATTCATTGCTTTTGTTACTGCTTTATTAGTACTTTCATCTTCTCTATAGAAAACAGTTTACATTGTCCCACTTCTGGTTTTGCTTAAAGAATTTTTCTCTAGTTACTGAATACAGAATTTAAAGGATAGAACCAAATAAAAAGGAAATGCATTTATTGTTTTATCTGATAAAACTTTACTGGTAGTTACCTTTTGATTTCAAATTAGTATTTCCAAGTTCTCAAATAAACTGAAAGGACAGTGTTGAGCAGTTTCGTATCTTCTGCACTGTTTTTTAATAAATAGCAAGAAATTGCAGTGTCTAATACTGCTCCTTTAAGATACTGCAGATTCAGGAATGCAAATTTGGGATACTTGCATTTCTTAATACTACTAGTGTTAGGTCCAGATTTTCCCCTTCATGAAGGTGTTCCAATTGAAACAGCCTCTGAAGTGAATGACCTGATAGACTTGGTGATGTTAAGGGAGACTAAGGAAAAAGAGGCCTTAAAAATACTTTTTTGCACCTGCTTAGTTTTACTTAGTCTGTACTTCTGAGAAATAATAATTTGGATTGTGTCAGGACCAAAGTGAGAGCAAATTATTTGGTTACATTAGAGACTTAAGATTTCCTGAGCTTTCTCTTCTACCCCCACATGCCTTTCCTAACTTCGGCATGTCTCATATGTGAGTGTTTGGTGGGGTGGATAACAGATGACTCATGGCTTTCTGGCTCTGTTCCTGGTACTGGGAATCCTCCTTTGACTAAAATCTAGGGATTTATGATGCTTTAGCCTTTGCACATGATATAAAAGGGTTAGTTCACAATCGGAAACTTTAACTGGTTTTATTTTGAGTATGGGTTGTTTTTGAAGAGAGAACAGTAAGTAGGATTTTAAGTGGAAATCCTATGTTAATTGAGCTTACATTTATTTCTTAAGAGTAGTAAAAGGGACAAATTTTTTTTTTTTTTGACAGCCTTCAAAAAGTAGAGTTGTTATCTGAGAAGCATATGGGGTATCTGTCTCCTTTTGAACAGTAATGCAGGTGGACACCATGGAAGTCAGGTTTACTCCTTAGTGATTATAACCTGTAATTGCAATGAATTTCAGTGAAAATCAAGAATCTGAAAAGGGTATACTTTGAGCAGTAGTCACCTACCAACGCTATTGAATAATCAAATATGACACAAACTTTTCCAGAAGCTTTTCTTCTTCTGTTTTGCTGTATTTCTTGCTGAGAATTATTTTATCTGCAAATGCACTGGTTTCTTTGGTCTTTGACACTCTTATAATGAAAGACCTTCCATTTCTACAAGTTTAGTCTTGTTTAACCAGTTCTTAGCATGTTGCTTTGTTTCTTGTGGATTGTTCCTTTTCACTGGGCCTGCAAGATGCTACATGCTAAAACTATAGTAGTTGCTGAAAATCACTTTGTGATTTGTACAGGTTTTTATTCTTTTTGAATATTTTTAATCCTACTTTTAAAACATAAGTTATTTTTTTACATATTCACAGAATTTGGAATATGATGTCTTTTTCTGCAAATAAGAGCTCTGTTTTTAAAATGTTCCAGGCTTCCCCCGCTCCCCACCCCAGCAAGAAAAAAATTATGGCAAGCCTGAAGTAAAACCACACAGCTAATTCTAAATACACATAGAGAACCTGAACATTTAGGAGAAAGACTTCCATACTTAAAATGAATAGTACCTTTTCTACACAGCATCAAACACAGTAACAACTTAATTATTAGCCTTTTTTTAATAGTCCTTAAAATAACAACGTTTTAAAGAGGTGTTCTTCAGAAGCAGTAGGGAAGGACCATGTTCTGATATCTTCAGACCTCTGAGCTGTAAATCATCTTTATTAGCATTTCAGTAGCATACCCTAGTGTGTAAGCTTGGCAGTTATTTTATCTAAAAGGCAGAACTGAATGGAAGTCAGTAATGAACTTACTTCTGTATTGTAAAACTTGCGTACAGAAAGGCTCTGGCTTTAAATGAAGAGAGACTACATACAGTAGAGAACTTCAATACAAAATAGGTACTTCAATGTTTAATTTGGCATAACCAGGTTATTATGTAATGTTCCAGTGTGCCTGGGGGCTGCAGATATGTTAGCATATAATTAGATACTGTGGGACAACAGATTACTCCAGTTGGTCTATAGAAATTATCTCTCTGCATGCTCTTTATCACCCACAAATACAAGGTGTTTATCCTTTTCATTTTAGGCTAAGCCACCTTGAAATACCTTTTTTTTTTTAATATATATATATTCATTTAGATAAGTAACATGGTTAAACTGGCATTCAGTAGCTTGTTACTTTGAGGTTACATATTCTGAACCTGTAACCAATGTTAGTCAATTGTGAACCATGCGAACTTCTAGAGTAGGTAAGAGACAAAGCACATTGGACTTCAAATACCTCAAGATTGTCTTTCTATAACCTATACATTACACATGCTTGGATAAGCCTCCTATTCCTCCCTGCATACTTTTCCATCAAGTTGACATTACATGTTTTACCATATAAAAAGGAATGTGTGAACTGTTTTCTCTTTCTGCTTTAATATTTCCAAATAACCCATTTCATTCCAAACACAATTACCATCTGGTCTTTCTAATTGTGTAACCATGGAAATACTTGAAAAGTTAGTTGTCTGTGTATATTGCTAGTGAATCTTCTTGTGACCAACTTTGCCTGACTTGCATTTTTCCTCACTTTATACACAGGCTGGTTTAGCAGGAGCTCCAGCCCGGGCTGTTTCAGCTGTAAAGAATATGAATCTGCCAGAGATCCCAAGAAATATTAATATTGGTGACATCAGTATAAAAGTGCCAAACCTGCCCTCTTTTAAATAACATGGCTACTCCAGGTAAAACCAAGGAATAAATGTAATAGAGATTTACCGCATAATTGTTTACTAAATAAACAACTTGTCTAACTTTTACTGTTTGGATAAAACTCAAGGTACTGTATAGACATAATTTGAAAAATCTGTGTGTGGAGTTGAATGTTGCTTTTGTCTTGTTTGTGAAATTAAAGAAAATGGGTAGTTCCCGTGTGATTTCTAAATTACATTCCTATGCCCTTGTAAGGCATATCACTGTGTCTTGGCTGCTGCAGTATTTTGGGAAAGTATTTAACATGTTCTTTACTTTGTATAACCTATAATGCTGGTTTTTTTGTATATTCACTAAGGTCTATAATTAATGCATTCCTTAAGTACTTCTGCTGTTTGTCATGATTATTTAAGACTTAAGTGCAAATGTTGCATGAAAACATTAAACTCTTGTTTTGTTTAAATAAAATCATAACAAACTGGACTTCTAAATACCTGTTTGTCTGAAATCTACTCTTTGCAATAAATCACATTATTTCCTATTCATGGAGCCAACTGACTATATATAAATACTGTTGTAGCAAGCATTAATGTTGTAGTTTAATCTCTGAAGGAATTACATGGGGGTATTTTGTTGAACATACTGGCTCTTTACATTTCTCACAAAAGCTGTTCATTATTATTCTGAAGGAAAAACTGCCTTTACTGAAGATCCCATGACTTCTGTTTACATATAGATGCTGAGAAGATACTTACACAATCTGATAGACTTTCCCTGATGGTCTGACTTCGTTTTGGGAAAAAGGGTCTCTGCAGTTGCTGTGTGCGTTGTGAGCTGAGGAGATTGGGCAGCTCAGAACTGTAAATGTGAGTGTATCAAGCAATGTGATAAAGAAAGGCACTCTGGAAAGATAAGTGAGGATACTTTAATAGGGTCTCTGTGCCTGGTGACATCTGTGATTCTTGTGAGATCTGTGATACGTGGAGAATCAGATTTATGAGACAGTATTGTCAAGACCTCAGAAAAACGTAAGTGCTATCACCTCTGTGTAAGTTGCTCAGCTCTTAAACTCTTCCGTGATTAAAAAAACCCCACCTCTTCTGTGATTTAAAATAAATAAAGGGGGGTAGTGGTTGGTTTTTATAATCATGCTCCTAAGCTCTGTGTGATGTACAAGTCTGTTTAAATGAATAATAAAAATATCATTGGGCTATTTAAGAATGCCTGTAAAGTTTTCTTCTCCAAAAAAGTATGCAGTTAATACTGTATATGGAACATAAAATAATATTGTATCAAGGACAGCACATTTCAGGACTAGTCTGAGAGGTCCTGTGTTACTGTCCTGGTTTTGGCTGGGACAGAGTTAATTTTCTTCCTAGTAGCGGGCATAGTGCTGTGTTTTGGATTTAGTAGAAGAATGCTGATAACACACTGATGTTTGAGTCGTTACTAAGTACTGCTTATGCTAGTCAAGGACTTTTCAGCTTCCCGTGCTCTGCTAGGTGCACAAGAAGCTGGGAGGGGGCACAGCCAGGACAGCTGACCCAAACTGACCAAAGGGCTATTCCATACCATATGACATCATGCTCAGGGTATAAACTGGGGGGGGGTTGGCTGGGGGGCAGCAATCACTGCTCGGGAAGTGGCTGGGCGTTGGTCGGTGAGTGGTGAGCTGTTGCATCACTTGGTGGTTTTTGCCTGGGTTTTGTTTCTCTCTCTCGTCGTTCTCCTTTTTAATACAACTTTTATTACCATTATTATTATTTTGTTATTATTATTTCAGTTATTAAACTGTTCTTATCTCAACGCACGAGTTTTCTTACTTTTGCCCTTCCAATTCTCTCCCCCATCCCACGGGGCGGGGAGGGTGAGCGAGTGGCTGCGTGGTGCTTGGTTGCCAGCTAGGGTTAAACTGACAGTTGCTTCCAAAATTTGGATTTGATGTAAACCAAGCATACTTTCCCTTTGAGCTGAATGTTAAGACATACTCCATAGGATAAACTGGGAATCACATCACATTCTGTTTGATCTATAGTAACTACAATTGTTGCCTTTTGAGAGCATTTGAGAGTGAAAAAGAGAAAGATAATTTATTTTTGAAGTAGAAAATCTGATACAATCCAAGGAACTTCAATTTATTTCTTAAGGGGGGGAGGCGGAAACTTCATGTATATTGTTCAAGTGACATGTAATAAGCATCAAGTAACACTATTTTAAAAATGTTTTTGAAAACAGAATTGCCCTCTCCATACATCTTGAAAAGAATATTTATTCTTCCAAATTAACTTCCTTAGTTTGAGGCTTCAGGAAATTTCCGGTGCGGTTTAACTAGAACACTGCCACTTTGTCATTTCCACTGAAGAAACTGAGAGAATAAAATGTGCAGCATTTTTTTTTTCCCCTATGAAGTGGAGTATTCTTTAGTATTCCCAAGTTAGACAGCTTGGCTAGTACAAGTCTGTAACTGTTATGATTTCATCTGCTTTTGCCAACTTTTGTTTTTCTGCTTAATGCATAGACCATGTGACATTCAAAGTAAAGATGTTGACAATTTTCTGTGTTGTTCCCCCATTGAGGATTTAGCTAGTGCTGCTGCCGCTGGATAAATAGGAAATTTTGAAACATTTGGTGCTCTGACCTACAGACAGTTCTTCTGGCTGTTTGTGAAATGAGCTCACAATTTCAGAAATTCTTCCAAGTCCTCTATCTTTTTTGTCACTTTTTTCCCTCTGGTTCATTTTCAGATTTGTAAGCTTATGTAGTTAAAACATTTTTCATTCCTCGCAGAGAAACCTTTTCTGGGTTTATTTGAATAAAACATTTTCCGAAATCCTCAGAGAAAGTATGTCTGACATATGTCTTGATATTTCAGATTAATTTCTCACCTCTTCTCTGTCAATAGCCAGGCTTTCATTCATTTTAGTGGCTAGATCTTAGCTCTTAACAATTATAAAGCTTTTTTTTTTTTAGGCTTTGTGTTTTTCATTACTGTTGCTTATACTACCTTTCTCCTGCCTGACAACATGGCTTCTGCCAGAAAGGATTCTTCTCTGGACAGCTCATAGATAGCAGACTTTTCAAGAGACTTCTCTGTTTGTGACTGGCCAGCAAATATTTAATGCAAGGCTGTGACTAACAACTGGAGCTTCCTACTCAGAAAATCCTTGGATGGGAAGAAATTAATTATCAGATTTTCACAGTAAAATTGCACTTCTTTCAAAGAGAAATTTGCTCGCCCACAGAAGAGTTACCATACAGAGAGCCTGAATGGTAGTGTTTTTTTCTTAAATAAAAACAGATTGTATGACAATGTGGGCTTCCTCAGGGTAGCTGAACCTGTCTGTTTGCCACCCCTTTGCCAGAAGAGTGTCTTTAGCTTGCCAGGGGAGATATCCTCTTACCATGTCATTTGACACTGCCAGGGCTTAAACTAAAACCAGTCAGAGGAAGATGGGATACTTGATTGTTAGAAATGATGGAAGTGGTATTTTTACTCTTGACCTTCTAGGGCTTGCCTTGTGTTGCAGATATTCACGTTTTCCATGATGCTGATGCGGTTGTATTCATCACCTTCATGAGAACGATGTGCCTTTTCAATTCCTTCTCCTGTTTTCACCAGTGTCCTCTCAACTACTGCGTAGGATTTAAAATGGAAATAAGCTGTGGGCTGTAAAGGATTAAGCTCTTGCTTATAAATATAAATGTTTTTAATGCTTTTGTAACAACAAGAAGAAAAACCCTTAACATATATATATGTGTGCGCCTGTGTGTGTGTATATATATATAACATCAGTCTTTTGCATTAGCTGTTGCTAAAAAGGAGAAGTCATCTTGAGTCATCCTTTAGCTGCAGAAGCCAGGCAACTAATTTGCCATAGTCCATGTCCATACAGCCTGCCTTTTAAGTGAGGTTCATCAGGGTGCCAGCATATGTAAATGAATCACTGAAAGCCATTTTTCCTAACTCTGGGCATTTCTTAGAATTACAAATGAAACATTATTAAACAATCGCTGATACTATTTGGTACTTACGGTATCTGAGACAACACCTCGTGTTCATTTCCCACATTAGGTTTTCTTCCCTATTCAGTTCAGTTTCTCTGCTAGGGAAATTCCCTGGGGAGAAACCTTTCATGTGATCACAGCAATTTAAATGTAGTAGGTATTATCTGTACTACTTTTTGATAGTCCTGGATAAATAATGCACAGAGATAATTTTAAGGAGACTGTAGCATTAATAATACAAAGTAGTAAATAAGCCTTCAGGGTGTCTTAACTAATCTGTTTTTCTATTGTCAGAAGGTTCCTGTATCACAGGTGATTACTTGTCTCAATATTCCACAAGGTAAGTATTTTCCACGTTTGTTTGTGTTCTGGGGATGCAGGGTGAAGTGCCCTGAGAAAGCAAGTTTGAGGGTTGGGTGTAGTGGCTGTTCAGATTGCTTGTCTCCAAAATGTGACTGTCTCTCTCATTATGAATTATGCCTTTCAAATTCAGAGATTTTTACTGTGAAATTTAGTAATGGGGAGAAGATTAAGTCTGATTAGCCCATGAGAGCAACTGCTAGTTCTGGCAAGTAATTTTTTTGTCTTTGAGAAGAAAAATTATTTTCAGGGGTACAGATGCCCTCTCAGGTATTGAGAGGAAAGGTGTTGGAAGCATTTTCCTTTCAGAAGCCAAACACTTTCTCTGAAGGCCCATGTAGAGCAAGCAGACAGATGATTTTCTTCCTTCTTGCAAGATGGATTCTTCTAAACAAATGGAGAAAGGGCAGAAAGGATAAAAGTTCCACAGAGTGAGTGGATATTCCCAGCTGCCTCCATAGACTTGAAACAGCAGACAATTTTCCCACTGGGGCAGGGGCAGTGAATACTGCTGAGAAAATCTTTTGACTCTTTTTCACTAAAAGAGAAGTATCTCATGTTAGAATCAGCTGAGAATGCTGCTGCAGTATTGACAGCACAGACAGTCCAGGTACTGTGTCAATGCACTCCCTTCTCCTCCCTGAACAGTGAAGTACTATTTTGAATATATTTTGAGCAGAGGGAATATTTTGCCACATTACAAGTGTATACAGAATTCCTCCTCTTAAACAGATGTTGTTGCTCTGATTTATTCTGCCTGACAAGAATGGGTGGAGGAAAATGTCACTTGTTGCAAGGGAGGAACAGGTTCAAGCCAGAAACTCAAACTGGCACTCCCTTCCTGTGAGCACATTTGACCTTTTCTTTCTAGTAGCACATTCCAATAAATGCTAAAATTGGTCTTGAGTTTTACTTAGGCCTATGCTGACAGCCAAATGGGAACTTGCTAATGTTCTAAGGGTTACCTCATAAAGCTCCTTGATACTGAATTCTAGCGTATGCAGGGCATAAAATACTGAAGGAACTGGAAATTAAAATGCCTTAAATCAAATCATTGTCTGTTTATAACTGTTAAAGAAAAACAGAGCCTAAGTCTTGCACAAAATATATTTCTCAACATCTGCACAGAGCAGTCATAATTTTACCTGGAGGAAGGAAAGCAGCCAAGTACTGCCAAAACTGACTAAAAGTGAACAGTTGATTTCACAAAAAAATAAATCTTTTGTTATTTACTTTTATGATTATCATAACAAATCGTAAGTCTCTTCCTCTTTCATTTTATGAAATTATCTGTCCTTGCAATTTTGGTGTTCGGTTTTTACCCCAAAATGCTCAATGAGCTCGGGTACTCTTATTACCTCTGTTCCATGGGTGGAAACTCAAAGGCAGTCGTACTACTATGTCAGCTTAGCAGCCAGATTTCTTGTCTGCAGAAGTTTTGGCCTTGTGGTGCATTAGGAGTG